TTCCTGCTACTAACTTCAGTGATCTAACTTTAATGATCTGTCTCTTGTCATAAATGCTATATCATTGCCAGGTGTGGAGTCTGAAGCAAAAACTTGTTTACCCAGCAAGTCAGTCAGTCCATTTGATGCTTTCCTGTCATTTTTGTTTTCCAGAACTCTTCTGCAGCAGTTGCAGAGACTCCAAGCCATGGTTGCTGGGAAAGTGTCCCGTTCGTGTAAGGCAGCTAGCACACAGACAGGGACCTGTCTTATGGTGAGTGTCCCTAAAGTTGGGAATTGTAGAGGAATGAGAATATCTTTTCACTGCTCAAAGGAACATGCCTTGTTCTGCAAAGCCCCTCACGCTGCAAATTCTCAGCTTAGGAAACTTCTCTTCATAGTTTGACAATTAATTTTGAGGTAGGTGAGACTCCTGTTTGGTGAAGACTAATGGTTGTGGGAAGGCATTAAATTCTGAAGGAGACTGAGGCTGTGTTTTTGATAAGGTGCTACAGTGACGAAAGAAGGAGCACTGCTCCTCTGAGTGACCTATGCTCCATTCTTTTGACACCAGTAAAGAAAAACCAGCTTGCTTTTCCAAATGAAAATACAACTAAGGCTGTAAATCTGCTTCCATCCTATTTCACTAGCAGTAGTCAGAATAAGGAAAGGATTAGAATTAAACTTTTCCCTCCTTACACTCAGGCAGCAAGTTCCCTTTATGCTAGTGCTATAAATTGCTGGAAATGACTTTCAAGGCCTGAGCTGTTCTCTGCTAGCTGCTCTGTCACTTCGAAGCAAGACTGAGGCCAGCAGCAGAAATAGCCTTGGAAATTTGTGGCAGTATCTGTAAAACACATGGCAGCTGTGTCTGGTTTTCAACTTTGGGAGTAAATAAGTCAACGGGCAAAAATGGTAGCAGACATTGAAAGCAAACTCCAGTGTTGAAATCTGCACTTTACAATACTGATTTGTTGTTGTATATGTGCCTTTTCTGTGACACACTGTATGTAGTGATGAAAATAATCTCAAGTGGTTTGTTTTTTAGAAAGTATCGATCTGCATTGTGTTTATTCTCAGTTTCGATGTGTCCCCATGAGTCAAGAGCTAGTGCACTTACCTCTTCTGCATCCTCTCTTTGCCAGATGGTGGTGCTGTGCTTCGCAGTAGTTTTTGGCAGCTTCTCTCAGAGCTATGGGCCATACCCTTCTGCTACGAAGATGGTGTTGCCCAGGCAGCATTCCTCGCCAGAGTCCTACACAGACTCTATTGGTAAGTGACAACTATCCCAGTCTTGCTTCTGCCCTGGTTGTGCTTTGGCACTTGCTTTGCACCCCCATAGCTAGCCCCATCCTCAAGTACCTCTTGCTTTTCTGCTCCTTAGCCAGCCATTCCCTAATATAGGTGTGTTTTTCGAAGAAGGATAGTTTGGCAAGCTGTGCTGATGGCAGCAGACTTCATAAACATGGGCAAGGCCTTTTCCCCACTGCATGGTACTTCTCTTTGAAGCAGTGTTGTTTCTGTTTGTGGAACAAAAGCTAGTGGTCTGTGAAAGGTAGCAGGTTTTCTACTCTGTAGCAAATGCTTATATTGTTAAAAAGTGCACCTAATATCAGCTGGTGTGTCCTTTGCTTCTGCGAAGAGTCCAAAGACTGAGTGGGAAACTTAGCATTGTATACCCATAATGAACCAGTTGCTTTCACTGGAAACTATCAAAGTGATTGTTCCATTTTGTTCTTGTTTTGTGAATAATTCAGAGCTTTTTGATCCCTACCATTGCTGTGGTATCTTTCCTCAGCTATCAAATTGCCAGTTAATCACGATGAAAAAAAGACCTTTGCAGCTCTAGTCCTTCTCTGACAGATTCTGTTTCCTGAAACGACCAGAGCTGTTCTCTGAGCTACTTGTTTCTCTCATCTCTTTTTGCCTTCTGTCTTTGCATGCAGTGAGGTCAAGGAGTCTGCTAATTTATGAAGAGCCTCACCAACTGGAGGAGTCGTCGAGCCCGATCTCCTTTGCAGATCACAGTGACAGGCACACAGACACCTCCAAGTACTCGACGCTGTCCCTGGAAGCCGTGCCAGGCACACAGCAGGATGATATCATGCAGTTCACAATAGCCAATGAGACAAGGCTAGAGAAATCGGTGCTGCTGGGCCTGCAGCAGCACAGGTGAGTGCAGGATGGGTTGCTTGTCCTATGGGCGTTCGGCGTCGCTCTCATTTGTGCCTGGAGGCCAGCAGTAAAATGAGGAGCTCAACTCTGCTGGGAGCTGTGAAACATGAAGTGTTTGGTCTCTATCTGGAGAGCTTATAGGCAAAGTTCTTGTTACTCTTGAGAAGTGGTTGCAAGAGTATTGGAGTAGGGCAGCTACCAAACTCAGTGCTTCTGCCAGAAACCTAACCCCTGTAAGCCTGTTAGTTGTGCCTGCCCACTTCTTTAAGCACTTCTGTGTCTCTTAAAGGAAAAAGCTTTTGGCAGTTGGGTGGAAGTGTGAAGCTGTGACTCACTGGGCTTTCTATGAAGTTAGGGTGTGAAGAGCTACAGCGGTGATCTTACGGAAGCGTTACGTTAAGAGGCAGAACTGTAAAGGTATCTGAACTACTTAACACAGAGCTCCTTCATAATTTATTTATTTTTTAACCATTAATGTAAGTTTTTGGTGTCTCTGCGAAAAGAAAGATCTGGTTTAAACACGTGAGTGCAATTTTCTTTCCACTCTACTTTTTCTTGTCCTGCCACCGTCCTGTTGGCCCAGGTCTTGGTCTCTGCTAACAAGCAGTAGCAAGCAAACCGAGCGGTGGAAAGAGGGATTTTGTTTGGAAGCATGCTATTCTGAGGGCTAAGATAGGCCGTATCACCCCAAGCACGCCTCTGAGCTCTTGTGTCGAAGTTATACCTAGAGCCAAAGCGATGACTAATTCAATGTGTTACCATACTCCAACTGACAAGTACGTGGTAAATACTGAGTGCTGTTTTAGCATTAGCCATTTCAAGCAGGATATACACTTCTAAAAATGACTAACTATTGGTGTTAACCTTTGTTGTTCTGTTTTTTTTGTCCCCTGCAGAGTCAGCTCCGAACTGGAAGGAAATGAAACACTGAAGATAATCGAAATAGATAGAAGAGTCAATGCCACCTCTTAAAAATAAAAAAGACCTTTTTTCTTGACTTCCCTCTTTCCCACATGTTTTCAACCAAAGTCCCCCTGACTTGTCATCCTCAGTGAACCAAAGCACAAAAGAGAGAGAGTTCAACTTCTGCGTTGACTGGTGAGGCTGTGACTGCAGATGGGGTCTCTTGTCTTGATAACTCCCTTCCTCACTTCACACACAGCCCCTCTCTTTGCTTTTATTCCTCTCCTGTGTAATGCTGCAAGGTCAGGATTGAATTATGATGGCAGATGCTGCCAGCAGCGTGCTGGTGACTGGTGGGTGTGTGCGTGTGTGCATGCACCTGTCCTAATCTGAGCACAAAGACGTTTTGTAGAAGAGTGAATTATGCAAAACCAATGGGAGCATGTGGGTGATAGGTTTCTTGGGAGAAAGAGGAGATGCGGCACGATGCGGCTCACAATCTATCCACAGCTCTGTGCCTGCTGGTCTACAGCACTTGAGCCTTTTGGGGAGATTGAGATACGTGTGTGTAGCCTGCTTCTGCAGGGACAAGAAAGGGTCCTGATACTGCTGAGTTAGCAGCATGGGCAGTAGAGGGGTTGGCAATGATGCTGCCGAATTGTCCTCCTGTAGCTCTTCCTCTTCCCCCCGCCCAGCCTCTTTATCATTTAATGGGATAGTTTTCTCTCTGGGTCAAAAGCAGTCCTGGTAGGCTTCCCTAGTGCTTCCACCCTTGTGGAATTCAAGCAAAGATCAGTTGCTGTCTTGTCCCACTTTGTGTGGGAGAATTATACTAGTTTAACTAGATCTGTTTAGAAAGCAGGTTTTGTTAAATTTATGCAATGCTTTGGATGGATGTCATTTAGTCTGCTTAAGGCTAATATGTTTAGCTTGAATCAGTTCCTTCCCAACAAACTAAATCAATGTTAGGCTTAAACCAGAAGTGCCTCCTGAGAGGACCATATGGATTTAATTTGTTGTCTTCTAGAAGCATTGATGGAATTTCTTATGTAGACCTGGTCTCAGATTGTCTGGTGTTTTCCTTTCCTTGCCATCTTCCCGTTACTGTTGTAAATAGTATTTATTAGCTTTGCAAAATTTTGTTCAGGCAGTCGTGATGAAGAGAACTGAGCTTTTCTAACCCTGCAAGTGGTCTGGGCAAACTCTGAAATCACTAAACACCCATTCCCTGTCCGCAAACTTTAATTGCGCTGAAGTAAAGCCATGTGTCTTGCCTTCTTACCTCCTTTTTCCAGAGATGTGATCTTAGACCAACTGCTTAGCTGTAAAGATAGAGGTATAGGTAACTCCAGCTAGCGCAGTTCAGGCCTGGAGGTGGCAGATCCTGTGTTAACCATACGGCAGGACAGCCTTTGACCTGAGGAGCTGAGTACGTAGGCAGAGGACAAGGCAAAAGAGGGATGAGGTGAGCATGTAGGGAGGTGAAGTGACTGGCCCAGCTTCGGTGAAAAAGTGAAGAACAGTGCTGAGGTCTGATCCTGGTCCAGTTCTCTTCTCCCCGCTTTGTTTCCTCCTTGTCCCGTGTAGCTGTTGCTTTTAAGGGTTCTCCCTCTCTCAGTACCTTGGTCATGCCTTTGCCCAAGCTGTGTTTCCTGCAATTTCTCCTTGCAGTGGTACAGCTGAATCTACCCCAGGATTTGAGCAGGGTTTTATCTGGTTACTACTGGAGAGCACTCAGACTCCATCGGGCATGGATTTAATGTGGAAATCCTAGTTCGGCAGGCTAGCTTAGCTACTTTACAGTTTAACAGAAGAAGTCAATTTAAAAAAAAAAATAAAAAAAAATGAAGCTCTTTTTTTTTCCTAATGATAAGTAAGGGAAAAACTAACCTAGTCTTAGAAATAATTTTTTACCGTGTACAGTAGATATTTCCTTCAAATATTCTATTTTGTAAAATAATGGATTTGTATTTTATTACAGCAGCTGCCACACCAGCTCCTTTCTTGTTCCTCATATTCCTTAGACTTTCTTCCTTCGCTGTCCTGTTTGCCGCCCTCAGGCATGACTAAGAAGTCAGTGAAATGAATGGAAAGAGGTCCGTGAATTACAGGGGGCTGTGGATCAGTCCCCACTGTGCCATTTTAAGGTGTTTTCACATTAGTGACAGTGAAACATGTGCCTGACTCCATGAGCTAGTGCTGTGTTTTGGTGTACAGATGTGCTTTCTAGGTAATGCCCTATTCATCTATGCAAGTCCTTTTTTTATTTTTTACCTTCGGTGGGAATGCAAGAGAAATGCTGTCATAGTCTGTTTCTTCTTGGCATGGGTCAGTCTCCTCCTAAAGTCTCTTTCCATTCCCAGTGATCCTACTGGGTCCTCTGAATCATTCCAGTATCCAACAACTTTTGTACGATTTTGGGGTTTTTTGACAATTTAAGGCTTCACATAAGTAACGAACACTGGTGGGTGTCATGAGGGGTGGCTGCACTGCTTAGCCACATGAGGTCAGCAAAGTGACAGCAGAGAGGTGGGACTGACCCGTTACAGTATGAATGGTCAGTGTAAGTGGGTAAGGTCATGGCTTAGAAAAATTCCTTAAATGGTCTTTTTTTTCAGAGCACCCATAGTTTTCCACCTCAGAGGGCAGTTGAGAATGGTTAAGTCTTCTGCAAATGAGGCCCTGAGCTGTCAAGCGCAACAGTTTGCACTTTGCAAGTGGGAGGCTGTCCTGAGCTGCCTGAGCTCATGCCCGTTACCAGTTAAATGGATCACCTCCCATTGTAGATACAGCTGACTTCACTGAATTAAAACCAAAATCGAATTATTTCTCAGTGCTTAAAGGACAGATGATTTTGCTACATCCAAGCTGGGATGGCCACACTGATTTTCTTGTAACCGTTTGATAATCTATTTCTATAATCTTAATTTTTGTAATCCATTAAGTTATTTTTAGGTACTCTTTTTGGGGAATCTCTTGACCTAGCATACACATTACTTGGGGATTCATTATATTAAATATTACTTCTTTGTAGTAAAAAAGTCTTTGCTTTACTTTGGTGTGTTTGTGATAATTTCTCTTCAGGGGCCTTAATAGAACAGGTTTCTCTGCTAGGTACCTAGGGGCCAAAGAATCTCCTGTCGTCACCTACCCACAGGCTGTTACCCAATGAGGACCTCACTTTCTCCAGAGGCAGTTTCCGCCCATGTTAGGTACCTGGCAGGGGGACAGAGGACACGTACAATTGTGCTGCCAGCCTCAGCAGCCCAGGGGTGACCCAGGCATGGATGCTGATGCGCTGCAGAGCACGTGGAAAGGCAGCTGTGTGGGCTCTGTGTTAAGGACGCAGGGAAGGAGTATTCAGGGAGGGTGCCAGTTATAAGTGCTTTTCATTAGCTCGGCTGCATTACTTGAGGTCTTAGCCTTCTGCCAGTACGTGTTTTGCAGTGATCAGTGACTCGGTGCTGTAGAATAATGTGTGTGGATGGACAGGGTAGGCAAAATGCCTTATGTGCTACTTAATTTCCATTTCTACTAGAGGACTTAAATGATCCTTAGAGTCTTCAGCTGTAACATGATGCTGCTTGTCAGCACAATTTTATACTGACTAGTAAACTTACCTTTTGGCCTGTAGCTTTAAAGCATGTCTAGGTCTGTTGGGTCTTTGCTTAGGGAGATAAGCTATGAAGGAATGTAGGGCATTATTTATATATATATATATTTTAAAAGTATCAAGCACAGGGCATGTGACAGTTCTAACCTTGTTACCAGTGCGTAGATGATCTTGGGTTTTTTCCCCAGGCTATTTATAGTTCTTTGCTGTGTTTCTCTTATATCATCTGTACCATTCAATATTTTTCAGCAGAACAGTCTAATAATGGATTAGGCTGAGGTTCTTAGGCCAGATTCCAGCTGATACAATGCAGCAGGCTTCTCACTGCTTTTGGAGGCTCCAGGTCTGATTTATACTGGCAGGGGGCCTCTTCTGTATCTCTCTGTGTAATCTTGTATCTCAGTATATTCTTGATTTTTCTAAGGTAGACCTGAAAATGAATCTAAAAACCTTTTTTGGTTTTTTTTCTGCTGAAGAAACCAGCCCAGCTCTCCACTCCCATCGCCCCAAACTGTCAGTGGTGAATTCTGTCTAGACACATTTAGAATGTAGGTCAAGTAAGTGAATGATATTAATTGCTACGTTGGGAAGGATTTCCACTGAGTATTTGGGCTCTAGATTCTAGCTAATGCCAAGAGGCCATTGTACAAAACCCACTCAGCTAAGAAAAGAAGTATACGGAGTATTTTTATACTCTTGGTGACTAAAATATTTCTTTCTCAAGTCACTAATTAGAAAGAGAACATTTTGTATTCTGAAGGTGAAATGATAGGTCAGTACCTTGTAACTACAAAAGTTATACTAGCCTATATAAGTAGTGTAGCGCTATGATATGTTGCTGCTTGCACTATAGTGTTAAGGATAAACAACTTCGAGACCTGGCTTACGTGTTAAGGTCTTTGCAAATAAGACATAAGGATTCAGTCGATGGGACAGGATATTGTAGCTTTCTTGCGGCCAATAAAATGTCAGTGAGCATTAAGGGATATGCTCAGGGTGTGATCCCAGTTAGTACTTATGTCATCAGCATCCATTGGAGACTCCAGGACTGGAAGGGAAATCGCTGTTTAGTTTTGTGGTTTTCATGTCAAGCATTTTCCTGCTTTACCAAGGTATGTATATGAATTGACTTCCTACACAGAAGAGGGTGCATCTCGCAGGAAGCTCTCATTTGTGATGCTGAAGTGGGATTCGTATATTCTTTATGAGCAGCAATCTCTTCTCTGCCCTAAAGCCCATCTCCATACGCCTCTTCCAAGAGATGGAACTGATTAGGTTCAAAACACAGGGAAGCTGGATTTATAGATCTATCTTATGGAAAAGGTGAAAAAACAGGTGAAGGGACTCCTGACATCACTGGGAAACCTAGTTCTTGATTCCATAAATGAGCAATGACAGGCTTTTTCATTAGTTCCCCCCTTGCTTTAGCTTTCCTCTTCCCCTTGCTCTTTAATACTATACAGTCTTATTTATGCATATCTGACCTTTGTGGTATATGCCATTTTCCCTTCCAACCAGCAGGTAAAAATCTTTCCAAATTTTAGCAGTCCATAATTAAGGGAGTGGAAGGGAGAGAAGGGAAAGCAGAGGCAAGTAATCGATTGCTTTTAACAGACCTCTGCATGTATCTGACTTTGCCATATCAGATTTTACTTCAATGGTGCTGATGTACTGGCCTCTCATTTTGTTAATTTGTACAGTTTGCAAGAATGAGTGTGAGTGTGTGTGTATCTGTGCACGTGTGCATGGTGAGCAATTAAAAAAAAAAAAGGTTTTTTTTTTAAATGTAGTAAGTGTCACTAATTAGAGGCATCTACCTGAACACACATGGCACAT